AGGTGAGGTAGTAGCATGCCCAAAAGTTAGTCCAGAAGTGCGGTTTACTATGCAAGGGAAATTGAAAGAGACTGCCCAAAAAGAAAAAGAAAAACATAGCACTAGTGTTACTATCTTGGATGATGATGAAGAGATGGAGGAAGCAGAAATGTCAACTGTGAAAAATGGAAAAAGGAAATCTACTTCAAACTTGCATCCATTTTTTACGAAAGGTATAAATGATCCTTCCCAACCCACTATCAAATCTCCAATGCAAAGTAAGGCAAAAATACATTATGTGGATTTAGCTATTGCTATGTGGTTTTATGATGCATGTATACCTATGAATGCTTGCAACTCTCCTTTTTTTTCAACTTATGGTAGATAAAATAGCAAGTATTGGTTATGGGTACAAAGCACCTAATTATCATGCTCTGAGGGTTAATTTATTGACAGATGCAAAAAAGTCAGTTTCATTGATAATTGATTCGTTAAGAAGTCAATGGGTTGATACTGGTTGCACAATTATGAGTGATGGGTGGAGGGATGTTTCACAACGACATTTGATTAATTTCTTGGTTTATTGTCCGAAAGGGATATCATTTCTTAAATCTGTTGATGCATCTGATATAGAGAGCAATGCTACAAATTTGTGTAATTTGTTTGCTGAGATTATTGAAATGGTAGGAGAAAAAAATGTGGTGCAAATGGTAACTGATAATGTTGCTAATTACAAGCTTGCTGGTACTACGTTATTTGAAAGATATCCTTCTATTACTTGGTCTCCATGTGCAGCACATTGTCTTAATCTTGTATTAAAGGATCTTTCAGAATTGGATAATGTGAAAAGTTTGGTAAATCTTGCATCGAGGGTTACTGTTTTTGTTTATAATCATAAGTGGCCCTTGAATTGGTTAAGAAAAAGACCCGGTTAGAACGAAATTATCCGTCCAGGTGCTACTCGGTTTGGTACCGTGTTCATTGCATTGCAAAGTTTGTATGACCATAAAGAAGATTTACAAGCAATGGTCATATCTAATGAGTTTAAGAAGGTGTTGAAAGTGGGAAATGCGGTTGAATGTAAACAGATTTTCTTGAATGAAATCTTTTGGAAGAATTGTTTGATTACAGTGAAAGTAATGACTCCTTTGTTAAAGCTTTTGTGGTTGTGTGATTCGGATGAAAAACCTGCAATTGGTTATGTTTACGAGGGAATGTGTCGGGCAAGAAGAGGGATTAAGGAATTGTTTAAGAAGAAGAAGGAATTATATAGGCCTTACACTAACATAATTGATAGTCGTTGGGATAGGATGTTAAGAAAAAGTTTTTATTGTGCGGCTTATTGGTTGAATCCCGTTTTTCAATATGATCATGCAAATCTTTGTAAGAAGAATGAGGTGTTTCAAGGCGTTCTTGAAATGGTTGAGAAGACTTTTAAAGGTGATGACGTTTTAAATATTACATTGAATTTAGGCAGGTTTCGTGATGCTGAAGGTACCTTTGGTAGATCTAGTGTCGTTGCCTCTCGTAATCTTACTCGTCCAGGTATGATTTAAATTTAATGTGTTATTATTATATATAAAATATTGTATTTTCTAATATATATTTTTGCTAACTATATCTTTTGTAGATGAGTGGTGGAAGTTATTTGGCGGAGATATTCCGGTTTTGCAAAAGTTTGCTATTAGAATATTAAGTCAAACGACATCTTCTTCCGGTTGTGAACGTAATTGGAGTGTATTTGAAAGGATTCACACAAAACGGAGGAATAGATTGGAACATCAAAGGCTAAATGATCTTGTATTTGTTCATTACAACTTGCGTTTACAAAATAGGTATGGTATCTTGCTAAGATATATTACGCTATAAAATGACCAAGTTATATTTGAGATTTTTGTGAATGTTTTTGTAGATTGAAGGTTGATATGAGGTCTTACGATCCTGTTGACTATGAAAATATTGATAAGACAGGATTTTGGGTGGTTGAAGAAGAGCGGGAAGGAGAACTTAACTTTGATGATTTGGAAAATATGCTTGATGAGCAAGAGCATGAACCGGCTTCTGAATCACAAGGTGAACATGTTGATGATGAAGTTGATAGTGAATTTCAGTTACTAAGTGACCGCGAGATCGATGCTTATAATACTCCAATTTCTCAAGATCCATGATTTGGTTTGGTCGTAACGTGTTTGGATTTGTCTACAACTATGTTTTCTTTTGTTATTTATACTCTATGTGGCTGTTTGTTGTGTTTAGATTGATCTATAACATGTTATTAATACTCTATGTGGTTGTTTGGGAGTTTAGATTAAACTTTGTTGACATCATATTATTGGTATTATATGTCTATGTAGTATGCAGGAAAGTAAAAATATATGAAAATAGAAAAATACCATAAACCGGGTTGACCCAGCGGTTCAACCGGTTGACCCGTGAACCGGTCATCACACCGGGTCAACTAAAAACCCGGGTTTTAAAACATTTGTCATAATTCACTCAACTTTAACAATGACAACATTATACGTGCAAAATATACATTTCTTGACAAAAACAATCGGGTTCCACATAGAAATATTCCCCCCGTATCATTCACGAGCATTAGAACAAAGCAAACTCGATACGATATTTACTTCATCTAGTTTTCAATTTGAACATATCAACATCTCAATAATGACTTGAATATCCAAAAAATTGTCACAATGTTTTACACAGATTTTTTCTATCCAAACTCTCTTCCTCCTATTCAAGATTCCACAAACATTTAAAGATAGAATATTAAATTTTCCACTTTATTCTCACCGATTCCACTTGTTAGTTTGTAAGTCGTTTTTGCACTCTTCCATATCGTAACCCAAAACTTAAAAACTATAACAAACTCAATATATTTTAAAATTTTGAGAATTAGTGACCCTCCAAGTAATCATTTCTTCTTTTTCGCCCATTATTTTTGTTTCTTTTTTCGCCCATTATTTCTTTTTCCAAAAAACCCAGCTGATTTACAAATATCCCACCATTTCTCTCGGTGTAAAACTTTTAACGTATAAAATGCAATCTGCGAATTAATAACATGCATGAATTATGGTGGCCATATAAAGATGCTATGACAACCAATTGAACGAGTTTTTCAAGAAATGGTGACAGGTGACCCATGCCAATTAAGTTTGGCCTGATGTAGCTGACATAAATTTATAACAATTAGGTTGCTGGGCGTCAAGTCATAAAATAGTTTCACATTGTTTGTCGAAGTGTTATTTTAGTTATGAGAAATTAAATATTTTCCTATTTTTATTTATATCTATCTCTCTATTCTATAGATCAAATTAAATATAGAAATCAAGATAAATAATTAAAAATATAGAAATCAAGATAAATAATTAAAAGAGAGAGTTTATGGCAGGTCATTTTTTATATGAGTAAGAAAATTAATAGGAACAAAAAAAGTAAAAGAATAATTAATTTCTCTTTATTTTTGTTAGAAAGTAGGGTGTGGCCACGGAATGGTGCAAGAGAAGTGGGGTAGCATACCGGTACGAATTGCGAAGACCTCCCTTGGCATGGACTATGGTTCAAAACCACATCGAGAGTTCTTGTTGACCGTAGCCACGACTAGTTTTCAAATTAAGAAAAAAAACTATAAATACCTTTTAAATCTTCTTATTTTTCACATAAGAATACCTTTTAACATATATTCTACAATTGTGAAATGAATTCATCTAGTCCAGACTTTTCATCATCAAGTTCAAATGATAAGTCAACAAGTACAAGTACATTTGAGTGTAACGTTCACAATTATCAACAATGGCTCATGATGCATTCCTTCTTTTTATGATACCGTAACACCCGACTTTTAATACAAGGTACAACCAACAAGATTTCTTTTTAATTCATAAATCAAACCAATGTACACTCGAATTAATGAATCGATACAAGAATTACCATAAAATGATCGTACATAAAAAAAAATACAGGATTTGAATCGGGCATTACCATCTCTTCGTTATAACTTTACATCATTGGTATGTTGACATAACCTGAAAGCTCAAATCAATAAAGAGTAATCTACGAGAGCTTAGTGAGTAACCAATAGAAAATATATAAATATCTTTCACAATAATGTACATTTCAACATGTCTTTAACCCATATAATCTCGAACACGCCTTTCAAATCAATCCAACATACACTAGAATATAGTGTTAATACATAATTTCCCAAAAATGAAGTTTACAGCTAGTCACACTGTTATCCCCCCAAAAACTATTCATAATAGACCTGTAGCTCTCCATGTTACTATTATACTTCATAATCTTTCCCCACGGTAGCATTTCAACAACATTACAATAAAACTATTTATAAGCATAATATTCTGGTCACCGAGGCTACTGATAATTTATAATTCTCCAATAACAATAAGCAATTATGGTATTACGGCCGCCAAGGTTGTCATTAATTGATAAAATTCTGACCCGTGGTATTACGGCCACCAAAGCTACCACGATAATTCAGTGACAACATACAAGTATAACATTACGACCACTAAGGTTATCGTTGACGTGCAGTTCTACCAATCCTACCATCATATGTCAATAACAACATATAAGTATAACATTATGACCACCAAGGCTTCCATTGACTTGCAGTTCTACCAATGATGATCTTATGATCACCAAGACTATCATCATAATCCAATAACAACATGTAAGTATAACATTATGGCCACCCAAAGCCAATAATTTTTTAGATGTCATCTATAAAATTTAAAAGTATAATGAATTGTTGTCTGTCAATATTCTTGCCACACAAAGCCAACCCAGAACACAAGGTCTCAATTATATCTGAAAAATAAGTTACAGTTAGATGATAGGTAAAAAAATTAGTAGCTTCATTTTTGTGTGTTTCTATGTACTAACTGGTTGAAATTGTAAAATCTGAAAGAAAAAACCATTTGAGTCTTTTGCACTACCAGTCTCTAATTCCATGATTTTTAACAAACTAATTCTCCTTGGATTTGACCGTCATTAAATCATTTGAAGCTTAATGATGATCTCTTACCTATTGGAGCGAAGGAGATGCAGGCATGGTCTTGTTGACGGGCGGTGCGTAGGTCGGCGACGGTGGCGGAGAGGATAGATGGGTCGAAGGAGAAGGTGTTGAGAAAAAGATCGTAGAGGAGGGTAGAGAGGAGAGTGGAGGAGCAGAGTTTGTTTCCTAAATGGAAAGAGAGAGAGCGTATGAGAGATGAGTGGAAGATGATGGTGGATTAGAGGTAACTGGCGAGGGCTAGTTCGGATTCGGTGTCGTGGCGAGCTTCGGCTTTGATTTCGTTCCAGACCCAGTCGCATTCGTTTTCTCTGTCGTTGATGGCGGTTTGCGGAGACGATGATGACATCGTGTACTGCGATGTGGCGTCCCGATCTTGAACCAACATCTTGCGATGGCTGAAGTGTGTGCTTAGGCACTCCAAACTCTTAAAGATTATGAGGTTCGATGTTGGTGGTGACGGCTTAGGGCTTGCAGAGAGAGAGAGAGAGAGAGAGAGAGAGTGTGCAGAGGTAGAGGTAGAGGAAGACAGGCTGCTAAAAGGATTATTAGGGTTCTTTGGTTGAGGATTTTAGAAGGAGAAGAAGGAGATGCATCAGGCGGGGTGTTTAATTTTTTGGGATTTCATTTCCTCCCATAGGGTATTAAAAAAACAGAGAATGTGCCTTCCTAAAAAAATATAAAACGAAATATTTACACGACACGCTTTTTAGGATAGGTGCCCTCCGTGTTTTTATTTTTTTGTTGGACACTAATTTTAGGGCATGCAAAAATGTGTGTTCTCTATCCTTCAAATTTTAGAAAACTGACATTATTTTTAGAACACGCAAAAAATGTGTATCTTAAATTCGTGCATGTCATTGTTTGCGTGTCATTAAAGGGTTGTATTCTAGTAGTGATTATTTTCTCTACTACTTAGTGAAAATATCATTAGGAATCTTTTGTATATAAATAAGATTTACATATGTCATATAAACTACATTATTTGCCTTCAAAGATCCCTTTCTTGGAGTTGGAATATGTGGATGTCATTTATATAATAAAGATAACAATGTTAAAGAGGAATTTGATTTAAAACAAGCTTAAGTCAAAAATAATTTTCACATAGAACTTAGTATTAATAAAACATTGATATTTACTTTATAATTCTTATTAAAAGATCTAGTCTCATAAAAAGAATTTTAATCATTTCCGAATATGATGGTGATCATTATGAAAAACAATTTAAGTAAATAGTCAATAATTCATAAATTAAACTGAGACACAAACATTGTTTTATATTACAAGTACATTATGTTTCTAGCATAATTAAAAAACTAAACTCCAAGAGTGTAGTTCCAACTTGATTTTGCTCAGTTGGTTACTCTTCTGTAAATATTTGCAATCCATTTACAAATATTAGATTAACATTTAAGTACCAAGTACCTAATTGTTATATGAAAAATATTAGTTCTATCTTGTAGATACCTGAAGTACTAGTCTCTTCCAGACTTTTTTTTTCCAGATAAGACTAACAGATCCTCTTCTAGTCTCCAGTTTATCTACAAAAGAAACAAGATCCATCTATGTGGGCCTTATTAGATTTCTTTTGCTTAAAGGTGTTCAGTCCATAAAACATGGGCCTCCTAGATCACACAAGGTGATTCTTTTGGAGCTTGAACTATTCCTAGCTTAATGTTAGAAACAAATTTAGCATCACAATGATGCCTTTACTAGGTATCATGTTCAGGTTTATTATTCAAAGAAAATAGTTTAGGATCTGGACCTTTAAGTGTACACAATTTCATATCTCTCATCAGATTGTCATATAAAATAACAATTATAAAATTATTAGAGAAAATATATATGAACTTGTTTTTATACATAACCAAGTTATCCATATTCTCCCAAAACTAAGATTTCCAAAAATCAAAAAATCTAACTAAACTTGCAAGGTGACTTAGATACCAATTGTTGAGTTTTTATTCAAAAACTAGTTTCAAAAACATATTTTTTAGCAACGGAATACTTGATTATTTTTTAATAACATAAATAAGTTGAACCTACCAAGGATCATCTTGCAAAGTTTGGAAAGAAAACAATACCAACCACATAAGAAGATGAAGAAAAGACAACCTTTGTAGTTCTTTGGATCCTCTTGGGAGGCTTGGAAGTTGATGAAGAATGTTGAACTTTAGAGACACCAACAAGTTTTCAACTTGATGTAGATGCTAGTCTAAAACTCCTAACTCTTAAGCTTTATGTTCTTATCAAAATAACAACATAAAAGAGCATAAGAAGCAAGTAATTTTCAAGAAGGATGAAGAAAAGAGAGAGAGAACATGCATCATGGATGCATGTTACGGTTTTGGTATATCTAAATGACTAGCCAAAACTCCATCCCTATATAAAGGTCTTAAAGTGAAGTCCTTAACCACAAGGTCTTAGTACTTTAAGCAACCATGATCCTATGTCATGAACATGTCTCACCATGCTTTCTTAGGTTGCATTCTTTTCATTAAATTAATGCAAAACTCCATACCTTTGACCCTCTTAGAAAGCCATGATTTTGGAGCCAAGAAACTATTCAAATTTTATAAAAAAAATATAACAAGTTTATATCTTACAAATTTTAACCATTTGGTAAAAGACAAAAAGGATTCATTTAGTCCAAAATGTTGTACATGACTTATTAATTCATATACCATATAAATATATAATGTTTCTTTCTTAATGAAAATTGTTATTTCCTAGAAATAAATAATATCCAATTAATTTATAAGAGTCTATTGAATATTTATTAAAATAAATTTCTAATAAGTAATCAATTGTATCAAGTTGTTGTTAGTATGACCCTTTAGTATCATATGTTAATTAGCAATATCATTATAATATGATTCTTGAGCATACTAGATATTTCATCCTTATCAGCCTCCATCACCCTCAAATCCCATAAAACCATAACACTAAACCCTCTTGGTGATTCTTGACTTATTTTGGTGATTTTGGTAGCTTGAAGAAGAAGACGTAGGTATCTAGTGTGTTGATTCAGCAAGCAAACATCACCATCGACCTCTTGAGCATTCTTTGGACTCTTGTAGGTGATCAAGTTTCCATCTTTTGGTGCTTTTCTCTCTAGATGTAGGTTTATGTCATATTTTGGTCCATTTCATATGGTTTGTATAGTTGGAAGAGATAATGGTTACAACTTTATGACTTCTCTAAGTCCCAAGAGTATTATATCCCATAGCTCTAGGATGTGGTGGTGATTTGGGATCCTTGCAAGAAATCTAAGTCATAATGCATCTTTTTACCTAGATTTGGGAAAGGACGTGCATGCAGTTGATGGGTTTTAAGCATTATAACACTCCTATGGTGCGCATGCAACCCTATATGCTTTGGATCTAAGTTTTCTCTAATTATACATGCAATTTCAATTTTACAAAGCATACATCCTAACTAGCATATAATAGAGGATATACAACATAAAACAAGGTTAGATGAATACCTCTTGATGTAGTTTGTTATTCTTGGCCTTAGAAAGCTTTAGCACCTCAAATGTGATGCCTCTAATGTGTCACAAACACCAAATGCAAGAGGAGGCCGGCTTGATAGAATAGGCTAGTAAGCTCAAAAACGGTTATCACTCTCTTAGAATGCATGAGCCCCGATTTTGGGGGCTAGGGGTTTGCTTTTATAGTGTGGCAAAGACTAGGGTTTCATCCATGCAAACCCTAATGCACCATGACCCTTCATATTTCTTAGGCTCAATGGGTTAAACCTTTTAGCCCATCCTAACCAACCATGGATCATTAGCCCACACTACAAGAATCATTGATTTAGTTAATCAGTCCCCGTATATTTAATCAGTCTCTTTTGATCACTAAATTAATTCCAAATTAATTCTTGATTAATGGTAATTAAATAATATGATTTCTCAATTAATATATTATACTTATAATATATTAATAGATCACAAATAACCTCTTTCTCAAAAGTCCATCCTGTCAAATTGCACTGGTGAAGGCAACCCAAAAGGACCATGCTACTATCGGGTCAAGTACATACCAGTTATAGTTATGGGCTTAGACACCTAATCCAACAGTCTCCCACTTGGATAAGTCTAATAACTATAACTGCCAATGCAACTTCAAAAATCCGATTAGCAATCGTAGCTCTCAAAAGCCGCTGTCGAACTCTGACCTAGTCAGTGACGCGTCCTTTAGATAAGGGATCATATCATCCTCTGTTCTACAAGATATCATGCGGACAAATACATGGAACTTAGTCATACTTATTGGCCTGCAGTTTGTTTCCCGATTTCCGATTTGTCTGACATAGAACATAATTTAACACATCAATTTAGTCCTGACCGGGCCCGATACGTAAGTCAAAACAAAATCATCGAGGGGCCCAAGATATCGCTTTTGATCCTCTTAGGATAAAAGGAAAAAATAAACTTCGACTTATATGCTTATACTAACTACTCGTTAAATCATGCACAACGATATGTTTTATAACATCAAGTTACTGATGCATTTTCATATCATCAATGCAGAACTAGCTCGTAGTCAACAACTCATATATCTTGGTGTGAAGACTATTTGATATTAACGTCTCACAATCACTCGTGATAAATTCCATGAAGTGATTCATGTGAACGTGGGTTTAATCCAATACTCAAATCTTATTTCAGGAGCACTCATGAACGTTGTAGCATACTTTTGCTATGTCTAACAACTTAGACAGTCTACCACCCAATTCATGACAGTCTAAACTCATAACCTACTTCTAAAGTATGATCGACTGTGGATAGTTTGAATAATCTTATTATTCTGGAAGTCAAAACATGCAAGGTGAAACAATAGTAAACAATTGACACAAGATAGTAACTTTACTTATAAATAAAACTCCTTTTATTCAATCATCAAATGTCAATTACATTTTAGCTATTACAAGTTTCTAAATATTTATCTAATCACTAAAACTAATATCGTCTTTCAGCCCGATACTCTTAGCATGCTGCAAGTGCTTAACCCTACTCAGTCCCTTCGTAAGGGGATATGCTAGGTTATCCTCTGATGATACCCTCCAAATTACGAGGAGTCCTTCTTCTACTCGATGTCTTATCAAGTGGTACTTTTTGTCGATACGCCTGGATCTACCATGATCTCTCGGTTCCTTGGTTAAGGCGACCGCCCCTTCATTATCGCAAAAAATCTCCATAGGCTCCTTTATGGATGGTACAACTCCAAGGTCTCCGGTGAAGTTTTTCAACCATATCGCCTCTTTCGATGCTTCGCTCGCTGCAATGTAGTCTGATTCACACGTTGAATCAGCTATAGGCTCCTACTTGGAACTTTTCCATGTTACTGCTCCTCCATTTAGGGTAAACACCCAGCCCGACTG